TCCACAACATCCCGTGGCAAGACTCCAAGTCTTTAATACCCAGCAAGCAAAGAGCTGCCTCCTTTTACTTGCTTTGAAGGTTACCTGCTAGCTTCATGTGATGCTCCCTCTTTTTTTTTTTTTTTTAAACTAGAAGTCACTGTAAATATTCAATCCCTTCCTCTTTTAGGCTGTCCATGATTCACTGACTTCTGGCATACTCACCCTCAAGTTGTCTCTCTTCCAGATGAAAGCATCTTAGCCTACAGAGCCATCCTGCACACCAAAGCCATCGTGGAGCACTTTCTTAAGATGTGGCTGAACCAGGCACAGGGGCATCGCAATATTCTGTTTTGCTCCCTCTTCCTTTCTGAACAATTCCTAATATTTAACACGCTTTTTCTGACTGCTGTACTGCATGTACGACTGACATACTGTTGGAAGCTCAAAATCTTGCTCCTGAATGACATCAGCCTGCTCAGTGTCCAGTGCTGTATGTATATAGCCAGAAGCCTGTTTTCCTGTCCCTATGTGGCACCCTTCATTTATACTGCATTTAATCTGCCATTTTATCACTGATTCACTTATGTCCATGTTTTTCAAAATTGGTGCTCATTGCTACTGCTGCTATTGCCATAAAGCTGCGTCTCCTCACTAACCACTCCTTTTTCCAAAATATTTATGAATATGTTGAAACACTGGTAATGTCCCCTGCATTGTGAGAACTGATCATTTATGCATAACTTCTAATTTTTACCTTTTATCCAACTGTCTGTCCATGCAAAGGTTTTCCCTTTCACTCTAGACTTTACAAGGTCCCTTAACAAATGCTCTGTGAAAAAGCCTTTCTGAAAATCCAAGTAGACTCCTTCAGTGAGGTCCCGACAGGGATTTTTTTTATTTTTTGGCAGGAGAAGGGAAGTTCACTTTACCGTGCTGTCAGATTTAACCTGCCAGAGTATTATGAGCTTCTATGTTCAGGCTGCAGGGCCCTCTTGTTCCTTCATCAATTTGCCTTACAAAAAAGTAAACCAACATTTAGAAATCAGATGCCCTTCTGATCTGAAAATAAGCTAGTGTCATAATGTTTTTGAATGAGAGTTCCCTACGGGCTGTAAACACCAAGCAACTCCAAAAGACCATTGCCTAAAAAACCCAAAACAACCTGCCCCCCAAAACAAACAAAAGAATCATAACATATTAATTACAATACAATAATCTGAGATAAGAGGAGCTGACCTCTGTGAGGTTTCTTAGGCAAGGGAGTCAAGCTGCTGGTAGGGCAGATTAGATTTGCTCAAATTTATAGTTGCAAAACATTCAAGTTTATTTAGCTAAAATCATTAGAACCAATGTCCTGATATTAGTGCAGAAGCAGCAAGTCAAGTGAAAATGTGTTTCTTCTGTTTACCTGTATGAAACAGGTAATCAGCCTGTTTGCTTCACCTCTAGAAAACTTGCATACGCTCCACCCAAAGGAAGGCTTGGCTGTTTCCACGTACGAAAGAGTGAGTTTGAGATGCACGAGAAACAGCATCACTGGCCTGGCTGGCATAAGAAATGAAAGCATACAATTTCAACGTAGGGCCTGCTACCTCTTCTTGAGACCCTAGACACTGTGGGCTTTGCACAAGTAACTAAGATATCAATTCTTGCATTTTTGGTACTAATTTACAATCACACGATAAGGGCAAGAGCCCTGCCAATGTAGCAGGAAGTTATAGTGAATTCTAGTGGGTTTCCTAGTATTTCATATAGATTAATACAGATTGTCACACTGAAGCAGTCGTTTACACTTGGAAAAGTCCATGTTTTCAGCAGATTTATCTCATCATCCACGGATATGCAAATTCCAAGGAGCCACCAACCATGACGGCCGAGGCTGTTCCAGCTCCAGCAGGGAGACTTCCCGTCCATGCTGGCAGCTCCAGCCCAAGGTGCGCCAAGCTCAGCTCATCGCTGCACAGTCGCCTCTGCCTCGTCTCTCTGCTGCTTCTGAGTAGTCCCTGCTCAGCATAAACTCTGCAGAGAAAATCATGCCCACCTGCATGTGAGGAAAGTCCCTACTGCAAAATGGACATTTCTAAATGGAGTCTCAGCCAAAGCTGAGACTCAGCTTACTCCCAGACCCAGCTCCAACTGGGAAGGCTTACCTTTCTTCTCCTTGAAGCTCCTTGATTTACGACTTCATGTCCCCCTGCACACACAAGCATGCAAAGGCTTTGCCCCCACGGTGGAAAGAAATTCCTGTTGTAAATCCTTCCCGTGGCCCGGCTTCCCGACAAGACAGAGAGAGGTGGGAGGATCAGGCCTGGGGTTTCACGAGGATTAAAAAACCCAAATGGTTGCAACTTGCCTATCATCTGGGGGACAGATACAGCGAGAGAAAGCTTACCAGCAGCTATATCCTGTATGGAAACCAGTGAAAGCTGTTGTGACTAGAGACAGACATACACCCAGTTTTCTACCACGCTACTTTGATAAAGATGATTTGAATGATTTGAATGTGGGGAACCTCCCTACCACCACCCATCTGGTTACATATCCCGCAAAGAACAAGCATCAGAAAAGTATTGTATTTCCTGAAGTTCATGAATGTACTTCCCACCTACACTGAAAAATATGAGTAAGATTTGGTCACTGAGTGGTTACTAACTTGCAGTCAGTCATCTCAGTCCATCATCTGGACTAATTGCCATTAAAATGGTCTTACTTACCATCTTAATACAGACCATTAATCATGTGTACTATTCAAGTCTACAGAGGCAGATTACCTCAGACTCTTGTAGAAGCTTGGACAACTCTTGCCGACAGGAAGAGAAAAGTACAATATGGAGAAAAGATCATAACCCTACTGGGATATTCACCAACGGAGGTGTTGAAGTAAGAGCTTGCCCCTGTAATTTATGGCCAATAAAACAAAAGATGCTTCATGTAGCAAAGGACCATATCGCTACAAAGGTACTGACGCTACTGCAGCAAGGTGATTTCGGACCCCCTGCAGCCAGTTGCACAAGAGATCTGAGCTCCTGTAACTGTTATATGTAAGACATGTATTACAGTAGGCAATTCTACTTAAATGCTGAAATGCAGGTAGCCACCTTGCAGCATCATGAGATAAATACCGTTTCTCACTTCTTGCAACTGTGGGTTCCTTCATCTTTGTGCTATGAATACACAGCATGCCCTCCTCCTCCACATGTCCTCCCTTGCCCGGCCCATTCACATCCTTGCTCTCCTGAACTTAGCCCTGGAGCCGACGCTGAGCACAATGAGCGAAAAGCGGGGGCCAGCGGTTCCTAACCCATGAGCTCTCCTGGGCCTTCCTCCTCCCCTTCCACTGGCCTCATCAGTCTCCAATTCCTCTACAAGCACAGCTGGAAAATGATTCCCTTCCTGCACCCATGTTAGACCTTAGCAACCAGTTTCCAATTATAAAAATCGAAAAATAGCTTCATAGTTCTTTATGTACTCCCCACGCCAATTTCAGAAGATGCAGAAGATGATGAAAAAATTACCTGCTCCTTTAGGAAAATCTTACTATTTCACAGCAGATCTAGCGAGGGGGAAAGATTAAAAAAAAAAAAAAAGAACACAGACAAAAGAGATAAACTTGACCAAATGCTACTTTTTGCTTGCAGTTTGGTATGCTAGCAGTTGTCACAAAAGATGCACCTCCAACAACTACAAGACCACATGAGATGCATGACCTTTCGCTCTGGTTCAGCAAGCTTTTAAGAAACTAGAGGAGGGAAGTAAAGAGAAACAGGAGTAAAGAAGACATACAAAAGACCAAATTAATAACGTGGTCAAAGGGATAGACCTCTAGCAAAGTCAATGGTCTTAGTGAATGAAAGAAACAGTTTTAATCTTTTGCCTTGCTGAAAACTTGAGTAACTTTGGCCTGTATTAAGCCACTGGGGTGTTCAATTGCCAATGAGCTGCCAGGTTTTGACATTACACCAAAACATATTGGCATGGGGAAAACGAGTTTCATATAAGTGACAATTTGTTAGCTTAGCGAAGTCCTTCAAGTTTTGCCTCCCTAATGCTCACGCCTTTTTTCTTGTTTAGCGTGTGAGTTAAAACAAAAAATAAATCATTATTCATTGCCCTCATCCTAATATAGAAGCATGACAACATACTCTGGGTAGATGTACCTGTGATAAAACACCTCAAAAGACACTGAGAGATATCAGACTATTATTTTAACTTGAGTAGAAAATAAGCAAAAGAAACTCCTCCTACCCCGGCGGGCTGGGCTGCCCAGCTGTTGTTTCCACAGTGTAAGGAAGTTCTGGGACAAGATCTTTTTTTCCCTCTCTTTGGAAACCCAGTGACTGAGCTTTATTTAATGTTTCTTTAGAAGCTTTGAGCAGCACAGGCCCTCCGGGGCTCCACCTCTATTTCTATGAAGGGAGCCGAGCACCAGGCATGCAAGCAGACAGCAGCCAAGAGCCAGGCTGTAGAAGCACGTGGTCAGTGGTAAGAAAGAAGACAGTTAAGGACTGATATTCTGGGTTATTAATTTGCAAGTAAGAGATCATCACTGCCAAAGGCCTCGATGTTACTCAAGTCCAGACAAATCCTATTTTCTTCAAACTATTTTCACAGCATGCAATACAGCACAAACAGAAAACTAGAGCAAAAACTAGGGTGCCAATGAAAAGTAACTGGATATTATTAAGCATACAGCGATATGTTATCAGTCGTCCAGATAAAGGCTTAGGATATATCCTTTATATGAGACAAGTGATAAAATATATGAAAACACTTGATAAAGATGACAACATATAAATCACAAATTAGCTGCAGTTAGTTTTTGTAGCTACAAATTCAGTCTGTCTAAAGCTCAGATACCTACACTGAGGCAACTATATGAATGAGGGATATTCAAGAAGTAATAGAAAGTTCGCAGAAGTAGTCATTTACTTTATTTTTATAAAAGCATTTTAGGAACCATCAAAAGCAGACAATGGAACATGAAACTCTTAAAATATTCATTCTTTTTGGCACAAATCTCATTGCATTCTCTCTCATCTTTCTAAGATGATTTTTTCCATCTCTGCCATTTACTTGAGCTTGAGGCTTCAGCATGTAATGTTTCTTTAAAAAACAAAGGAAAATTAATCCCTTCTAAGCCAACAAACACAGTATCTTTAGCCCTAGAAGTAACGGTTAAGATTTCTGTTTCGCATTAAAAGTATCAAGGTCACCTATAAAAGCTTGAGTTTTTTATTTTTTAGAAAGATCCCTCCTTCTGGTATCTCTTTACAGTGTCTGCTTAGCAACTTTTATATTTATAATGGCTTAATTTGATATATCCATAGCCAACTGGATTGTTGCACTCATAATATATATATTTTTAATTTGTATTAGCAGAGCCTACTTGGAAAAGATTTCCATTAACCAGTATAAACCTAAGACGCGCCTCTGTGAGCATCCAGAGGACAAGAGAAAAATGACCTGACATTTCTGTCCAGTTCTCACAGAAGACAAACAGTGGAAAAAATCTGCTCTGAAGTGCACAGCTAGACAGCAGGGGTGCAGGAAAATAAACAACCCTCAACTATCTTATGAAGAAAATTGATTTAATCTGGGAAATAATATTCAGTAATGCAGTTCAGTCCAATGTATTTTTCTTATGCTAGACTTGAATTCTCATGTCTACTGCCTGGCAGTAACTTGAACCTACTATTATTATGCCCTCTAACAGTCATAAGGGCATGAATTTGACTTCACGCTGATGCCTGTGCTTTACCAAAACAGAAGCATTGCTGTTGATGAAACACAATGCAAAAGGAAGCGCAATTTTACAAATATGCCTTGCCTTCTTGCTCGCAACAGACTACCTGGTGCAAAGGGGTAAAGGCAGGAATAAGACACCCAAAAGTGCCGATGTCTCCGAGTCCAGCGTGCTTTTGCTGGTAAAGGCTAAAGATCTGCCTATAAGCTTATCCTGCTTCACATTGGATGCCTTAAATTCAAAGTTCCTGTATCGTTTTTGAGACACTATTTCAAATCTGTGAGACAGTCTCCCAGAAATAGCCCCTCTCAGCTTTCCCTGGAGGGAATGTGCTTTATTCACATAACATACTGCCAGCCCATTTGCCTCATACTTCCACCACTGCCCCAAATGCCTTTCTTCAATACTTGACTCTCCTCTGGCCCAACACTCCCTATCCAACTGCTCATGCAAATCCACCTCTCCTAGTCTCAGCCCTGGTTTTTTTTTTTTAAAACTAAAAATCCATCAGTCGATCTCTTCTTTACTCACCTCTTTCCCAGCCCGTTTGCCCAGGAAGTTTCCTTCATCCTGCCTCTTTTCCCAATTCCCCAAATCCTCTGTCTTTCGACCCTCCTGTGGCCTGATTCCCCAGGCAATCCTGATGTACCTCGGGTCATTTCCTCCTCCACACTGCAAGAGTGACAATCACCTCTTAGCTTTGCCAAATTGCTTCCTCACCAGACTACAAGCCTCAAGAGACATGAGCGTGCCCAGCAGAGACAATTTTTTGAGGCTTTTTAGATGCCAACCCCTTTTCTCCCTGACCATGGAACTGGAGATGTTCCAAGATAGACCGTGCTGCTAAATCTAGATGAACTTTCGCTGGGAGATCATTAAGACACATCCTGGTGTCAAAATTGACCTCCAGACAAGGCTCATACCACTTCCACTCTGAAGGCCTTGGGGGAGATGGAGGGCAACAAACCCTTTTCAAAGAAAAAGGTCACCAGGAGTTTAACGTAAGCAAAATGAAATTTCCTCCCAGCTTTATATACAGAACCATGCAAACCACTTCAATTTGCATCTTCCAAGCCCAGCACGGGAAGTTTCAGTCCGAACAGTTAAAATTAACAAAATTATGAAAAACTGAAAGCAAGCTACTTTTCTGGGGAACTCTGGGGGAAAAGAAGCTATGCTACCAACTCCATCGTAGATTTTTCTTTTTTTCTTTTAAACTAAAACTGACAGCTACAGGGCAGCCAGTCCACAGTCAAAATGGTCACTTTGTTTCCTTTTAATGCGAGTTTAGACTTGTTTCAAGGCTAGTGCTAAAATTAGGTCTTTTACTAGCTTTTCAATTTTCCAGCTCAAAGGGTAGAAGTTTTCAGAAATGACGTAAGCCACTGCTGGAAGGTTATAATCTAGGTGACGGTTCTGACGTCCAACAGAAGCTGTTTTACGTTTTCTAGGAAGCCGGTAAATGAGCATCGGTAAAAAAGGCAAAAATGTTACGCTTTGCATCAGCCTTCTACTGATGACACAGGGCATATAGTTCCATTTTTTACCAAAATCAAAGGAATGAGAAACATAGATAGAGAGCTTTGGCTGTATTCCAAGAGTATGCTGGTTTAGATGCACCTCTCTAGGAGACCTCTTTCTACACTGCACAAGTTATCCCAGAGATGCAAGTAACATGCCAGCCTGACTGATGTGATTCATAGCTGCTTTCTTTGATGGGATCACTACATGCTATTATGGAGCGGAAGAAGCCTCACTGCTTGAGCCTGAATTTTACGGTTCAAGAATCAACAATGTTTTCGCTGAGGAAATTTATAGTCTCTGCCAAACTCAAACTGGAACGAAGACACATCGCTCGCATGTTGCAACCTCTCCAGCAAACTCAGCTCTACATGCACTATTTTGGTTTCCTTTCTGGTCGTGCTGGTTTGCAAGCAGACACAGGGAAAAGGTTAAAAGTCAAAACAGGCAATCTGGATCAATAAGTTAAATTCAAATTTTCTTGAAATAAGTAGCAATCTCAGAGTGCCAAATCAAATCATGCAAGACTGTAAGATCATGTACTTAAAAACGTTTGGCTTAGAAAAATTACCTTTATTCATTTTCCACTAGTGACCCCAGAGTGAATTTTTTAAAACATTTGGAAAGAAACATTACACTAATTAGCACTCTAGCCTTTAAGTCATTTCATTTCACTTTTTACATCGGATATGTTAACTTGCCTTTAAATCAATGCAGAGGCCTTCCTGAACTTCTTATACATATGCCTTTTATATACCGGCTTTTCTTTTACATACATTTCCAGGTAGTAGCGATGTGTCAAAGTCAAGAAGAATCACATAAGGAAAAGCAAATTATAAAGAGACAGACATACAAGGTCATACAACCTATAATAAATCCTTTTTTATAGTCATTCACCTACCTCATATGATGATGTGCTCATTCACCTACCTAGTTTCAAGAAAATAAAACTTTACAAGTATTTTGTATCCCCTCATTTTGGCCAGAAGTTAATCACTTAGTGTAAATGATCATGCATGCTCAGCAGTTATCAACATATTGCTTTATTTCTTGGTAGTAAATTAAGGCTTTATAGTGAGATTTGTACAGTACAGGCCAATTTAAACATTAGAAACCCTAAAAACCATATAGTGCTATCCACTCAATTTAGCATAGCCAGAGAAGTAGTTTTTTTTTTTAATAAACAATTAAATGTTACTAATGAGGCCTTATATTTCATGAGTGCAAATGGCTCAAAATCCCACCACCCTCAGGAATGGGTTTAACATTTAACTATTCTTGGGGCCATTTTGAGATAAAAGATAAACAGAGTATAGCTGGCTTGGATAAAATATACTGTACTGCTTGCTCAAGAAAATCTCTAATTTTAAAAATACAAAAAGGGAAACTACAGTGATGTTAACTGGTCAAAGGATGGTATCACCCCCCCCCCCCATTAGACACTGACCAGTAACAGCAATGAAAAAACGATTTTCCTTGGCCCTCTTTGCTTTTGTACAATATTACTTATAATTCAGAACTGCTGATATCCCCTAACGTAAGAAATTCACAATTGAAGGATTATGCACAATTTACAGGATGTTTTGCACAAGTAGAACAAGTTCCCTCTGCAGAGATGTGCAAAGCATTGTTTTTTGTAATTTGAAAGAGCATTTCTACAAGTATTTCCTAAGCAATTAAATATTTTTCTTGAGCATATGGATTTTCACTCCATATCTAAGATTTTATTAGTGTTGTCTGGAGATAATGGAGTTACAGCTTATGAAAACCAGATCCAGTGCTTCCCTTCTTACATCCTCTGTCAAGACATGTATAGTGTTTGAGCTGAATGTACGAATTCACCTGTCAGTCACGCGCCAGGAGCCTGACTGAAAATATCATCACTCCTAACATGTCTGGCTTTCAGATCGGAGCATTACATGTGGAAGCACAGAGAAAAGAGCTGCCAGAAAACTGTGAAGGAAGTAACCATGAAAAGACTACACGCCCTGGGGAAGGAGGCAATGAGACGGGGGATCCTCCAAGCCAACTGTCTGAGCACAAGAACGGCCATGAGAATACAAGAGGCTTCCAGTGTCATGGGACAAGGCTGACATTTTAATTCCTTCTTGAACAGCAGCCATATCTCCAGTCCACAAGGTTTCGCAAAAATCTAAATCTAATGTGAATAACACCCTAAGCCCCTCTTTGCCCACCAGTGTGATCTCACGTCAGGCTAACGTCTTTGAAATCTTGAGATCAGCCACCCATTCTTTAAACTGGAGGGCCACAGAAAACGGTCAGGTTTCTACGTGTAGTAAGGCACATATTGAATACACCTCAATGCGTGCACCTAGTTTGCTCAGGGAGCATCAGCTGCAATGGTGCCATGGCTGCTAAGGAGAAACCGTGAAGCAAGGTGGATAGACTTTCTAGTGACAGCAGCGCAGCACAGCAACTGCAACTGCCCCGTGCAAACCATCCCGCAACACTTCAGAGTCCCTGGTGTACCACAGCACTATCTCAACTTGTTGCAGAAATGCAAAGGCTTCTCAGGCTGATCTGCTGGCTTTCCCCTTGGCCAGGCCACCAACATCTTATCTGTTTTCTTTCACTCAAGTGAAAATGTCACTGCTTACAAGACCCAGAAGTCCCTGTTGGCTACCAGAGGGTGTACTAGACATGCAGAAGACGGCTGATGCAGAACTGAAGGCAAGCGGTGATGACGCATGAGCGACCTGGAAGAGGGCTTTCCAAGAGAAGCCATGCATGGGCACGACCTCCAAATTCACTCAGCACAGTGCTCAGCAATAGCCAGCAGCTCATCCTCTGCTCCAGGCAAGTACATCTGAAGACATCACCCAGTATTTCCTGAGGAATTACAAGGAATGACCACTAAGGAGAAACTGCATGGAGATAAGGGGATGCTTTATCAGCTGTATTAGAAGAAGGTGGGGAACAAGAAACATATTGCATAGTCAGATTCATGAGCACAGCTGGAATTCAGATGTATTTGACACAGCTTAGCAACACTTCCAAAGGAGTGGTTATGTGCTATTCCCTTTGGAGTCAGCTACTTTAGCCTGGGACAAGATCAGAGATGTTACAAAAATGGCATCACAGTGGGGATGCTGAGCACTCACTGCTTTTGAATTAAGGCAGCCTCTCCACAGAGGCTCACCACACCTAAAAAGTGATCATACAAAAAGCACATAAAATAGTCCTCTAGAAAATCCCCCTCACCAACAAACAAGAAAAGCTGACTCCTGTGAGCCATAGAAAAGACAGCATTACTGAGTATGGGATTGTGTGTTTATACATCAGTGTTTTTAATACTGCGTTGTAACAACAGCTGTAGGGAGTCCTTTCAGAAGAAGGCAGGGTTGGTGTGCTCTATAATACAGCGCTTGCAATGCCGTTTAACAAACCGCAGGGCATCCACAGAGACATCGCAGTCCTGCACATTCAACATCTGCAGGTCAAAACAGTTGGCAGCGACAATCTGCAGGCCCTGCCCAGTGATGCTCTCACACGATTTCAAGCTCAGGCGCTTCAGGTTGAAGCAGTTGAGGGCTAGAAACTCCAGGCCGGTGTCTGAGACCAGAGGGCACTTGCCAATATCTAGTGATTTGAGTTTTGTGCAATTTTTGGCGAGGTACTCCACACCGTGGTCCGTGATACCCTCGCAGCCCCGCGCATTGAGGTAGCGCAGCTTGCTGCAGTATTTGGCAATGTAACGTATGCCCACGTCTGTGATCCGACCGCAGTGAGCGATGCTAAGGTATCGGAGGCGGGACTCCAGCTTGGCAATCTCCCGCATGCCAAAGTCACTGACAAAGCGACAGTCGCTCACGCTCAGTTCCTTAATGGACGTGCAGTAAATCATCAGGTAGCGGAGACCCTCGTCGGTGATGCGGACGCAGCGACGCAGGTACAGGTGGGTCAGTTGAGTGCAGTGAGCGGCAATGGTGTGCAGTCCTTCGTCCTCCAGGACGAAGCAGTCTGTCATGTCCAAGTAGCGGATGGAGATTTGCTTCCCATGTAAGGGAGACAGCTTGATGGAGGCTTCGCGAGTCAAACTGATGCATGTCACTTTGGAGCAGCCTAGGTGGAAAAATCACAGTAAATTTAAATGAGCAAGGTAAAAAAATAAAAATAAAAAGCCTCAGAGAGACTGGAAAGGCAGGTATGAAATTGCATGATGCAGGCGATGCAGACGTCTCTGCTTTGCAAGAGCAGAAACATCCTGACTGACTAGTCTGGATTTGCTGGGATGTGTCCCTACATCAGGGGAAATATTCAATAACTCCACCTAGCGTTAGCCAGAGGTTGCTTTGGGATTTTGAGCATCAGCAAAGCAACAGAACAGTTCTGTCGACACCCCAAATGTGAAGTGATGGTCCTAGGTTTATCTCTGGACAATCTAATTCTTTACTGCAACATGAACACAGTGATGATTTGAGAAAATGGTACTACATGACAACCAACACGGCTTTCTGAGCAAGGCAGTCTCAATACTGACTCACTGAGTTCATAAGCCAACATCAGAGGTTGTTTCGCCATCAAACTCCACTACGGAGAAGACAAACCCCACCCACTCTTCAAAAAGCATTTGGGGAACAGATGTTTATCCTGCCCCGAGCCTGCCATCTGAGAAGGACAGAAAACTACGGCAAGAGTGTGTGTTTGCAGAAGGGTAGGTATTTGGGTAATCTAAGGAGAACGGAGAGAGTCAGCAGGAGCCAACAGACTTGTAAGGGCATGGGAGGACACATATAGACACGGAAAAGGACTATTTTAAGCAAGAAGGCCTGGCTACAATTGGAGGTAACTAGACTAGAGGACAGACCAGACCTTGGAAGGAAAGAGTAGGAGTTAGATTAAATGGAAAAGCATGCTCATAGACTTTCCCAATTTTTAAACTCCACTCTGCGCACAGTAGTGAATGAAAGCAGAAGGTGCTCCTTCTGCTCCATGGCAAATTTGCAGACTGAGGCTCCTGAAGGGAAATTCTTACCTGCATCATGTTCAGGCGTGTGTGGTGTGTTAGCACAGCTAGAAATTGCTGTAAGGAGGAAGGGGAGGGCTACCAGCTCGTGATCCAGGCCCAATAATTTTAGCCATAAACGTCAGAGGAATTCTGTGGCGTATACCTAAAGGGGTGCCCTCAGGTAGGAAAAGGAGCTTTTCTGTATTGCTGAAACATTGGCCAATAGGGAAGGGATGAGGATGGGGAAAGCAAAGCAAGCGTAAGTGCAAAAAAAAAAAAAAAACAAACTATTGAAAGCCAGAAAAGCTAGCATGACAACCTTGGAGTTGGCATGCATCAGAAATGCTGCACAAATCCTGTAATCTGGAAATAAAGAGCATGGCAATCTTTGTATGGAAACCCTCCCAAAGATACAACAAGTTCTTATTCAGAGGCTTGGTGGCAGGTATGTTTGCTTTTGTTCTTAAAAACTGAAAGAAAAAAACAAACAAACAATGTGAGATAAACCAGCAGGCTCAAGCAAATGCCCTCAGAAGCCTGGTGTATGGCCTTGAAATAGCCTGCACTTGCAATTAGATTCCTACATGCGCCATCAGGGTTTGCAACTGGATTTTTAATTTAGGCTTCAAATTTATTGAGATGCAAAGCCTGACACGCAATGAAACCGGCAAATTGTCCACAGGTCATGGAGAAGCTCTGGGACCTTGAAGCAAAAACATTCAACGTACAATGTCTTCTTAAAACTGAATGCTGCTACTTCCTTTCCGGATTGGGTTGCAGATCCATCTACCTCATGGTGTGATTTTTGGAAATATGTTTGCCTTCAAATAAAAACTACATAGACCCTTAAAAGTACAAGGTGATTTTTCTAAAGGGAAGGAATATAATTCAGCTTTACTGGTGTAAAATTTCACCTCTAATATATACTTTGGACTAGGTGATACAAAATGCACAAGAGGAGTCCCCACCCTTGAGCTGGGTTTTCACTGCAGAAGCTGGCACCTAGACAGAGCTCTGTCAACTGCTGCAGGACCTGATGCAACTGTTGCTTGTGTTTGCACAAAGGAGTTGTCAGATTAAGGAATCAATATGGATATTTTACATGCTAATCAGAATTCAGTTTTAAAATGTGGTTAAGTGAGAACAAAGGGTTGATGAGGCAGAGGAGAATATCCCGTCTGCTGAGGATTCAAGAAGGAGAAACGCTTTAGTGACTGAAATTAAAAAGTGAATGGGTCAGAAGTCTCACAGCAGGTTTAGAGTCACTGTATATCAGCGTGTGATCACTGTTTTGACAAGCTCAGCATCCTCTTGTTGTCTAGGTATTTTGGCGACAATGTAAAATACTTCATAGGTAGGGTATTCAAAATAGTTTCACCAGGAAAAAGTCCATGTTGATATATAACTATCTGTTTTTTAGGCAAAATGACAGGTTTCTGGGTCTGTAACGATTTCTCTATCCTAAATAACAGAAATGTAAAAACAAAACTCTTGTAGTAGAATTTTCCATACAGGAAATGTAACCGATTATAAAAAGGGAGGAGAAACTTTCAAAAAGGTTTTAAAAAATGTTGGCTAGCACGTTAGATAATAACTTGCAGTAAAGCTCAACCAGCTTCTAGGGATACCTCGGACCTGCCCACAAAGTGGATGCTGAGAGTCATGGAATTTATGTTGTGGAAAACTCAGGAAGTTAATACAAATATCTGGTTTTGACATTAAAGCTTTTGATGTTATCACTGCCAAGTAACCATCTTAAAGGGCAAGGAGGAGAGGGATTCAAATAGATGTACAAATGAGAAATTGGGTTTTAATTAACTAGCTACAAGTATAGTGTTATCCTCCAGCACACGTGCCCGATTTTTCTTGCTTAGTATGAGATCAGACTAATGGACCACGTCAGGTCCAAGAAACACTCATACATTAGATGCAAACCTTGTTCTTCTAATTGCTCCTTGGACTTGATCACAGAAGAGATCTCCTCACATGACATCTTCTGATTTTAGCCCAAAATTTGTCCAAAGACCTAGAGTATAGCCCCATTTTAGAGAATCTAGGGAGAGTCTCGTACAGCAATCAAAATCACTACTTGAAACCTTATTCCCGGAATTTCTTTCACAGGCTCCCAGCTATGACAAAAGTGCAATCTTCTTTCTGGCCTCCCCTGTTTTACCTTCTATTTAAGCACACAAGCACCCATGGCACAATCTGAGCCTGGGCTCTTCAAGGGGTATGAGTTATTTTGGCAAATGCCTTCCCACCCACGCAGGTTTGTCAAAACTCGGGCTGCTGTCCTTTGAAGGGGAAGACTTGCAACTACGAATGTATGGGTTGCTTTTCCTGCTTTGTTTGTAAGCCCAGGAATCACCCGTTCTGTTTGAGAAAATGGTGAGAAGGGAGAGAGGGAATGAGAGCAAGAAAATTCACTTCTATAGGAAACATCCCCAGAGATGGACAAGGTGAGGTTTAAAGAGAAAGTCTGAATCTGCACAACAGAATCACCAGTTGCTTGACCAAGGTCTTCTCCTGCTCCAGTCCCTGAGATGCTGGACTCCCCAAACCAGTCATACTTTCTCCCCCCCTACCCAACCCCCAGCTGTCTCTTCCTTTCACAGAATCCTTGCTGGAGCTGGCTTTTCCTGTGCTGGTGTTGTAAGATGCCTTCTCCCCACTGATCTTGTAATTTATTCTTGAGCTGAGGTGCCTGTCTGTAAGACTCCAGGAGTTGTTGTCCACTGAAGACTAACATGTTTACAGAGGGCATGTCCTGCCCTTCCAGTAGGGAAGAAAGGAATGGAAAATAACTGGAAGGATTAAATTAGTTCCTGCGCATAACGGAAGTTTTTAAGAAAGAGCTCCACATGTCACATGAGCACCAGCTTCCAGAGGAGCTAAATCTTGTGAGGTTAATACAATTCTTGGGACACATACTATTAAGAAGGATCAGATTCACTCTTCGTTCGAGGACAGTGCTGTGTACACAACAACTTGGGATTTGCTACAAATAACTGAGGTCACTCCTGGCCCTGTCAGATAGCATTTGGTTTGTTTAGTTAGATTCATTTCCCCTCCCTCTGCACATGCCAGCAAGTACAGCATCGTACGCGAAATACAAGAACAATAATGTTACTAAGGGATCATCATTACATACACTGGCAAACTGCCCAGCAACCCTTCAGAAAACCAGGGTCCAACAGAAAAGAAGTAAAAACCATTTTTATATATTTTATTTCAGCCAGACAGAAGGACAGGGAAAATAAGATCCTGTTTCCAAAGCATTCTCAAAAATTACCCACATTAGAACTACAAGTGGGCTCAAATCAAGGCTCCAGAACTGAATCCTCTTAAATTCACACACACAGGCACATGCTGTAAAGGCCAGGTCTGAACCCATACGCCCTGATTTGATAACGTCAAAACCAGAATTTTTGTCTTGCTTACTCCAAAAACAAGGACTGCTCATAAAAAACAAAACAAAACAAAAACATAAAAGAAAGCAAAGGAGTCTGCACCAAACAGGCAGCCATGGAAAAAAACAGTTCACGTGCTCACATAAATGCCAGTGACTCAAGAGGATTGCTTTCTATCCCCACTTTGCCTTGACTGCTGTGTAGGCATCAGCACCTCTGCAATGGCAAATCTTGGCCAGCTGATTACTATCAATATTAGATTGGTAACAAGGTGAGATCATAAAATATGAATTGAAAGTCAAGTTTATTTCAGCGCTCTGCTTGGGTGCATCCTTTCAAATAAGTGCCAGCCTATTTGCAGAGGGGAAGTCCTGTGTGGCTGAACCTGGGGACAAAAACACCTTGTATCCCCAGAGCACATCTGGGGAAAACTGTCCAAAACGTCTCTGTTGATCTAATCAGCTGCAGTGATACATGACTGTGGAGGGAAAGAAGAAAGCCACTAAGCAAATGTATGCACTGTACCCGCACACCAGTTCAAGCTCCCTAAGTCTGGTTAAAGTAGCAATGGAAACAAAAGGGCCCTGAAGTTCAGCTGGAGATGACAATTTGTACCTAGACAAAAGCCTTGCATTGATTCTGAGCTGCTGCTCAAGTCATTAACCAGATTAAATTACAGATATATACATTTCATATCATATATACACAAAAAAAAATATAATAAAACAAATTTTGCTCGCGTAGCTAGCCTTCGTTATACAATATACTAATGACGGCAACTTGGGCCTCCTTAAGGATCATTTATACAAAAACCTATAAAAAGTAGTCTTCCTATTTTAATAGGTGATCTCTGCTAGCTAGTTTCCAGGGGATGGGGCCTGTCCACTCAGGAGGTGCTAACGGCATTTGGGGTATAAAGAGTCTAGCCATACCTTGCACACCACTACAGCGTTACGAGATTAGTAGTCCTGCTTAGAAAAGCGACTCAGAAAGGGGACATACGCAGCTGTAGGGACCAGGGGCTGGGCTAGCACTAGCCTTCTAGTCCCCACCTCGCATTGGTACTTAAGTATCCCCCGTTACCTGACACATCCAGGTGTTCCAGGTTGGGACACAGTGACACCACATCGAAGACTGCCTCGTTGGAGATGTTGTAACAGCCAGACACCTCTAGCCTCCGCAGTTCTGGGCAGCACTGGGCAATGGTGTAGAGTCCTCTGTCTGTGAGCCGCCTGCAGCCACTAACTATTACCGTCTCCAACATGAGACATACGTTAGGCGTATCCTGGCAAAGCCTCCGCGTCAGCACTTTAAGAGCCCTGTCTACGTTGATTGTCTCGCCCGTCAGGCGAATAGTCCTCCAAAGCCGTGGGTCCCAGGCGAGGTTATACCAGCGGCGGCAAACACGGGCACAGCGGCACAGCTGGTTGGTAGGCAGAAAAGAGAATATCTGGATCATGGAGTGATCTGGCAGCCGGTCTATGTTGGCCTGTTCCTTCTGGTGTTTGGACGCCAGCCGGATGAGAGGATGCGTGAGGCGGGTCGGAGGTGGCGAGTGGACCATGGCAACCGTTTCCCCAGTGACTGAGGAGGAGGAAGTAGATGACCCTCTGCCATTCTGGCAACTGTGGGAATTCTGCGGAAATATTAACGCTGGGCTGGGCGTACTGAGCGTCCGCATGCTCAGGTCGGAATCTGGAAGACAAAGCACAGGACTTCAGGGAAGCTCTCCGGAGCAGAAGGCCCTGCTAGCCCATTTATTAAGTGGAGCCTGACAGACCTTGAGGTTTTCTTTTTTTTTTTTGAAATAGGTTTCTCTTTGTGCTGCCATTGTTGCCTAAGAGTCATTCCCACTTTCCCAGAACCATCAGGAAATAGAGCTCCTGCTCCCAGCTCTTCCAGCTATTCCATAAAACAGCAGGTAAAAGACTGGAAGGTAACTGGGATATAGTTTTGATAGCTGAGGAAATGCCACCAGCTGTACTTTCATAGACCCAGAGGTACTTTGGCAGTATGCTACACAAGATGCAACCAGTGTATATGAGGTCAGTGCTGCAGCTGGGCTCCATCATTCCAGCTTCGGTCTCAGTATTGATCTTAACAGAAATCCTTCAGGAAGGAAAGCACCTTCAGAAGATGAACATGGGAACCGGAATTTATTACCCAGTAGAACAACAAATAACATGAATGCAGAAACAGTAACAGTTTTAAAGCATCCAGATTTCCTCCACATTGCATCTGCTGCTATCCCTTCAGTGTTCAGACAGTTCAGGGAAGCATACAAAACTCTCCTTAAAAAGCACTGGCTCTACAGCTTTGCAACTGTGAAAGCACAGATGCAGGCTAAGCAGGGCACCCCCAGAACTGCATTCAACAGCCCTACCCAAATATGGAGTTGGGCAGGGTTTTAAGTTAACTATATTTTAGATAAGCTTGATAAATATATTACACATGAATTTTCCTATCAAGCATTTCTCTCTCACTTACTCAACCACAAGCCTGCTCTGATCTCTAAAAGGTCAGCAAAATGGGCTTTTCCAGGGCCTTAGGTCAACTGCTTTCCCTTTTCCACCAGCTATAATAGTAGCAAACAAACGACTATTTTCACAGCATGTCAGCAAGGTAGAGATGAACAACTCTATTTGAAGAAACCAAGACACAAAGTCCAGCAACTTGCCCAAGATCCCCTAGTTCAGGTGAAGAGAGGTCAAAGCCATTATTTCGCCCTCTGAAGAAAAAAGCTATGCCACACAGTTCCCTCCCTCTCCCCTATGTGTATCTTGTTTTTCTGTGACAGAAACTCAGCATTTCAACAGGTGACAGGAAAACACATTTTCTTCAAGGCTTCTAGGTCTCGTCTATGGCCCCTTGGATCTAACCCAGGGATTTGTATATTTTTGAGAAAAGACCATATCTTAATACAGAGTGAGTTTTGCAGACACTCCTGTTCCCGTCTGAGATCTCCTAATACCCCGGTGGCAGTTATTGCAAACAATTGCATGGAGGAGTGTTATTTGGAAAGCGTCTAGCATACTTTGGTATTTTAAAAATGAGATTTACAGCTGGAGAGAAAGAAAAACCCCACCAGCAGCAGCCAGACTCTTGCAGACGAGCAAGGACTCCATAGACCACTTAGGCAACAGTCCCCCAGACTGACTTCTGCAAAGACTTACCATCTGTCTGACCTTCCTCACGTTATCACCAAAACCAATGACAGTGCCTGAAGTTAAACCTGTGCGTAAGACATGGCAGACTTGGAGCCTTCTACTCTTTTTGCTCTTTTACTCTTTTTGTTCTTTTCTTGAGAGTTTAAGAAAAGGATGCCTCTAATATAAAAGGAAATGCATTCATTATTTAATACAAGTTTCTAGCACTGGATACATCTCCCCCCAATACATGTATTTTTGTATTGTGAATTACTCTCCTTTCCTTGTACTTTCTCACTCATTCACAAACCTGCACAAAAAGGGGAAACAAATCAAAATAAATAAAATACTCAAAACAAGCAGCTGTTTCTGTACAGCTAAATACCTGAAAGAAACCTGAAAACAAAAAGCTTTATTTAATTTGCTGTAAGCAATTTTTACTACTGTGGGAACAGGATCGCCTCCTGTAAGACAGTCTCAGATCACATCCTGAAAACATATATTTTTAGTCAGTGGTTCTTGGCAATGCCTAACAACTTCTACAAACTTATATTTTCACCTACTCTCCATTCCTACTTCAGCATAAAGAAAACCTGTTCAATACTCCTTGATACTCCCCTCACACCCACCAAAACCCTGTGATCCTAAAGCATCAAGCTAACATGGCTAATCTCTATTCCTAGTTTCCCACTCTAGACAATTCCGGTCAAAAGTGGCATTCCCACACCAGTCCTGTGCAAGCTGTGAACGCTGAGTACCTTAGACATTCTCGGTGCATAGCAAATTACCAAAGTATGTTTTTTAACTTAGATCTAAAAGCTAAAAGAAAAATTTGACCTTCTGTTTTATGGGTTCACTCAGTGCTTGTTTCATGCTCTCTTAATTCTCTCATTAGTATAGAAGTTCCAGATGTGCAGCCTGTATTTCCTTTACCTTTAATCCTGAGGGTGCTTCACATGAAACCTGCTCCCCCCACCTTCAGGGCATGCTCCTCCAAACAGATACTCACATACGCAACAGATGATACACACACATACATGCCCTCCCGGTATTTTGGAAAAGGACCATAGCATTGTCATTAAGCTCAAACAAGACAGTCAAGAGAGCACTACTGGTCTGCTTAGTACATAACGGAATATGCTATTAGACAGGAATTTTGCCGGTAGCTTAACTGAACTCTTTACAGAGGTATTCCAGCTTAGTGTTCACTGTACACTCTTAAGGGGAAAAGAAAAAATAGCAGGTGAGTCCAATAGCTTTTTGCCAGTGAAAACTTAGAAAGCTTTTTGCTAGCATTTAAAGCTTCAGGAATATACTTGCTGTGCTGCATGCTTTCCAGGCTTTGTGAGTATTGCTGAGAGGGACTTCTCATACCATCATCTGAGCTTCCTTCAAATTTTGCTCTTCACCATTTATTAAGTGCTCACTAACAGTTTAGGTCAGTTCAAGACAGAGGGATTTAATGACAGTATGACATCAATAAATGCAATCCTAAAAGCATAAGTGAAGGTACACGTTGCCATTTTCAATAAAATTGTTCCAAATACATGCCCTACACAAGCACTGCTTTCTTCCCCAAAAAGTATTGCTTACAAGCCTGAAATGCAAGTTTACATTTTGGTAAAGCTTAGGAAGTAAAAAAAATTGCAAAGCAAAGCAGTCCTGCACTTCCCTCGCTACAACCTCTTTTACCCACCTCCCCCCACCAACTACCAAAGCTTTTGTACAAGATGCTTTTTATTATAGCTTTGCTCAGACTCTGAGGATTGTTTGTTGATGTAAGAGAAAATTTCCTAATAATCTTTAAAGAAATCTCAGAAGATGCGTGCCAGAAACAGAACTATAAAAGCTGACATAGAGGGAGAAAATCCACTGGAGGGAGTTTTCCTATTCCATTAGGAATCTGGTTTATTTCAAGGGATTTTTTTTCTTTTTTGGTTCACTTTCCCCATTAATACATGCATCTAGGGAAAAAAGCCTTAAACAGATGCAATTCAAACCAAGATCCAGTCTCTGTGCATTTCTGTCCTTGGCAACAACATGTAGACTCTGAATTCAGAATCAGAGAAGGAAAACAATGCTATGCTTTTGTTAAACCAGCAGCAGACACTAACCCAGAACACCTAATGTGGTGTCCCAATTAGGTGTCCCAATATGGACTTTGTAAGACTGAATGGCTTCCCGTGTTTAAAGTGTGACTCCCTTCAACCGTACTGTGGCACTACAGAATTCTACGTATACCTATTTTAAAGTGAATTCTATACCAAGATCCTCAAGTTTACAAAATTAAAATACAACTTTCAATAAAGGTCAACAAAACTTCAGACTCTTAGCTAAGGCAGCAAAAATGGATTCTTCTTGTTGATCTGCTGTCACCACTGAGATTTTTAGAACTGATGCCCAGTTAGCAACTATAAGGCAAGAATTAAACCAAACTCTGTTCAGGCTCTGAAGAGTTAATACAGTTGAGAAAAACAAAAAGCAATAGGTGTTTCTGTCAGTAACATTAGATGCAAAATAATATGTGCAAGAAGCATTTAAGCACAGTGTAGGAATGTGATTACAGGTTGTGAAAGTCAGGGGCAGCCCTGTCTGCAGCAACCATGAGATGGTGAAGTTCAGGATCCTGAAAGGAAGGAGCAGGCCAAAACGTAGGATCACCACCCAGGACTTCAGGAGAGCAAATTTTGGCCTCTTCATAGACCTGCTTGGAAGAATCCCATGGCATATAGCCCTAGAGGGAAGAGGAGTTCAGGAGAACTAGTTTATATTCAAGGATCATCTCCTGCAAGCTCAAGAACGGTTCATCCCAACAACAAGGAAATCAAGTGAAGGCAGCAGAAGGCCTGCATGAACGAACTCAGACACAAAAAGGAAGTGCACAAGAGGTGGAAGGAGGGACAGGTGACCCAGAAGGGGTCATATAGAGGGGACCAAGCATGCAAGGATGGGGTTAGGACAGCTAAAGCCCATGAGCAGCAAAAGGATGACTAGGGAAAATGCGGACCTGCTGCCAAACGGGGCAGGGGCCCTGGCAAAAAAGGGCACAGAAAAAGTTGAGGTCTTCAGTGTCATCTTTGCCTCAGTCTTTACTGGTAAAACTGGCCCTCAGGAATCCCAAGCCCCTGAGACCAGAGGGGAAGTTTGGAGCAATGAGGGCTTACCCTTGGTGGGAGAGTATCAAGTTAGGGAACAGTTAAACAAACTGTATAGAGAACTCCATGGGCCCTAACAGGATGCACCTCTGAGTGCTGGGGGAGCTGGCCAATGTCATTGAGAAGCCACTCTCAATAATCTTTGAAAAGTCAGGGTGGGGTGACTGGGGGCGGTTCCTGAGCAGTGGAAGAAAGCAAATGTCACCCCTATCTTAAAGAAGGGCAAGAAGGAGCACCTGGTGAACCACAGGTCAGTCAGTCTCACTCAGATCCCTGGGAAGGTGATAGAGCAGCTCATCCCGGATACTATTTCCAGATATGCGAAGAACAGGAAGGTGGCTGGGGCAATCAGCATGAATCTACCAAAGGCAAATCATGCGTAACCAACCTGATG